GATCTGCAGAACCAGCCTAGGCCAGCCTGGGGCTCTCTTAGCAAAGACAAGGAGTGAACTGAACTGGAGCCCATCAACAGGACAGACCGATGAAGACTGCCACGATGAAGTAAAACGACCACCAGAGACCCTGACGACCACCGAAAGGCTGTATTGTGCACGCGGGAGTGGGCGGCAACATGTGAATGAGTTCTCGGAAATGGCAGGAATATGTATCTCTGAACTGTGTAAGAGCCGTACGTCCGGCCTTTCTCGGGGCACATGCCGGGTGGAGCCATCCCAGGTGTGCCCAGCGCTGCAGTAAAGAATACCTGCTTAATAGACATCAAGGCTATTAAGATCTAATTTTGGCCTTTTCACGGCAACAGCTCATAACCTTCATTTTGATAGCTTTGGAACTCAGATGTCTTTGCTTCTCATCGTGACAAGATTCTCCAAACGTTGCCTAAACATAAAACATCAGTCAGGACAAAAGGGTCGGTCATGCTCATCAGGAGGTGGTACACTTTCTTTAACCTTCCTTTTCTGGTTGACAGAGCTGTAGAAGCCCTGCTTGTTATTCTTTACATTCCTTGCCAAGTTTAGCTCCAGCTATGCCTTGCCCTTCCTGGCCTCATCTCTGCACACCTGGGCAGCAGCCCTGGGCTCCTCCTGGGATACCTGTTGCTGCTCCCACGGTCTGGGCAGATGCTTCTTGCCTTTTAGTTTGACCAGCAGGTCTCGACTCAGCCGGGCTGGTCTTTTCCCTTCCCTGCCTGATTTCGTAAACCTGGGGATGGAGAGCTCTTGCGCGCTATGGAGAGCATCCTAAAAGATCTGCAAGCTCTGTCCTGATCCCTTGTCCCTGAGGACCATTTCCTGTGGGGTCCTATGGGCTAACTCCTTGATGAGCTGTAATTTTGTTTTCCTAAAATTCAGGGTCCTGACTATGCTCCTTGTCTGACCCATATCCCTAAGGTACAATTTTAGGTAGAGCCAACCTCACAGCCTGGTCTGAAATGCAGGTGGCTCCAGGCTGGTAGGCTGGTAGGGTAGCCGCCAGCGAGGAGCTCCCCACACCAGGGGTTTCCAGCTGCTTGAGGGCCCAAGCACCACAATGGGGTGAGCAAGGCCATGGCCGATGGTGTTCCTGTCATCTGTTGCCCCTAGTCTCGGTGTTATCTTGGCAAAAGCACACACGTATCTATGGTCTCCCCACCCTCTTTCACAGCTCCTGTTTCAGCCTCATCTGTGCCAGAACTGTCCTGGGAAGAGGAACTAACAAGCAAAAATAGGGAAATGAGCCTGTCCATATGGGAAGCATCACAGCTTTCACAACAGAAGCTGCTGTATCTGTGTATTCCCTAAAACAGAAGCTGCCCTGCGCTGATGAAACTGAGACCCAGCCACGCGCCAGTACCACTCTGACCAGCTTCATGTGGCTCATCAGTTCCGAGCAGGTGGTGTTTTTTTCCAACTGGGTCACTGCCTACCCTGAAGGAAGGGCAGGGGTGGGGTAGAGGGGGCTGCTGAGGGCCCTAATGTTGGTATATGGGGGAACACCTGTGCCATGGGCTAGCTCCCATGGGGGAGACCTCCAGACCCACCAGTGCCTGCCCTAGGGTCTCAGGCAGCCTCTTCCCCAGCAGAGAAGGGAAACAAGCATTGCACCATCCCTCACAATGAAACCACCTCCCTGCTTCCTCTCTTTGCCTCTGCCGCAAAGGAAAGCCTCCAAAGTCAGCAGCAAAGCTGTGTGACCAGCGTCAGATCTCATCCTGTCATGTGAGTGAGGTCTCGTCACAGGTTAGGGCCGGGTCAGCCGCTAAATGCAGGCAGATGCTCTCTAACCCCCTCTTCCCCTCTCCAAAATGGGAAGAAAAAGGGAATGAGGCAGAGAGACTTACGGGTTAGGAAAGAAAAACTAGAAGCGCTTTAATGAAACAATAATGGAAATAATAGTGAAATGATAAGAAATAGAGAACTATATATAAAGTCCAATATCGAACCCGACTTGCCCCCGATATCAATCCCCACTGATGCCACAGAGCAGGCGGCACTGGGGAAGCCCTGGGCTCAGCGGCGGGGGGGGGCGGGGCAAATGGATTCGGGACCTCAGGATCCAGATGAAAAGCAGGAGATCAGATAGAGCCCTCCCTGGACACCGGCCATTGCAGGAAAAAAGGGCAGATCACTCTCGTGATCACTCAATTTATACTAAATATGACACATATGGGATGGAATACTCATGTTGGTCACTGTCCTGTCTGTTACCCCCCGGAAGTAACCTTTTTATTCCTTGTGCCTCCTCTCACTACCCGGCACCCCCAGCGTGGCACACAGGAGCCAGCAGGGGCCTTGGTCACTATAGGAATAAGTACAAGCAAGAGCCTGTCTGCATCCCAGTCCCAGGCAGTAACTGTAACATCAGGTGTTATCACTGCCGGCAGCACACACTGTCTGCACAAACATGCTGCTGACTTCAGAAAGGGTAGCCTTTTAGAAGAGACTGAACTGGAAAGTAAAAACTACTAAACAGAACTGGGTTTTTTAGCTAAAACCAGGACCGTGTTGCTGGGGACAGGTCCCTTGCACGGCACGAAGGAGCCAGGATCACCCAGGGGCAGCGGGGATACATCTAGGGGAGTCACCCAGGCACTGGCTGAGGGGAGATTCATGCAGTGAAATTCCTTGGGTGCAGTGAAGAGCTGAAGGGGGATTTCTGCCTGCCCCAGGCCCAGCAGAGCCGCTTTCATGGGAAGAGGGATCTTTCACGACAGAGAGGCAACAAGCTCCAGACACCTCTACTTTCTACTCCTCACCCGCTTGTCCAAGCTCCACTCAGTTATTTCTCACGTTCATCAGTTCTCACTTCTTCTTTCCCTTTTGTTAATTCAACCCCCAAAGGAGGAACCACTCAGAAGCTGCACCCCTAGCCAGCTTATTTCCCCAGCTCTCGCCTCGCTGCTCGGACGTCTGGTGAGGGTCCTGTGTGGGATCAGCCATGGGCTGGGTGCTGTGGGGGGTCCTGCTCTCCTGGGTGTCAGTGGCTTGGGTGAGAGGGGCTGAGCAGTCCCAGGAGATGTCCTCTTCTGCAGGGTTTCTGAAGTGCAAAAACGTCCTGAATCTCCCAAGTCTGGAAGTCCTGCCAGGGGGGGGCTGGGATAACCTCAGGAATTTGGATATGGGCAGAGTCATCCATCTGGGCTACTCACTGTGCAAGACCACAGAAGATGGCTCTTATATCATCCCAGATGAGATCTTCACTATCCCTCGCAAGCAGAGCAACCTGGATATCAACTCTGAGATCATTGAATCCTGGAAAGATTACCAGAGCATCACCTCTGCCTCCATCAACCTGGAGCTGTCCCTCTTCTCCTCCATCAACGGCAAGTTCTCCCATGACTTCCACCGGACGAAGACTCACCAAGTGAAAGACCGTTCTGTCACCACCAGAGTGCAGGTCAGGAACCTGATTTACACTGCCAGGATCGACCCAGGGGCAGTCCTGGAGGAGAGTTTCAAGAAGCAGCTGCTGACCATTGCCAGCCACCTGGAGAACAACCAGACACGGACAGCTGATTTTCTAGCCGAAATGCTGGTGCTTAACTATGGCACCCACGCCATCACCTCTGTGGACGCTGGAGCCAGCTTGGTGCAGGAGGATCAGATCAAGGCAACCTTCCTTAAGGACAGCTGGGCCACACGGAGTGCTGTTACTGCCTCGGCTGGGGGAGCCTTCCACAGCATCATCAGTGTGAAAAATAAGGAGTCCCTGGACATCAGCTCTGGCTTCACCAAGCAGTATCTGGAGAACCGCACCAACTCCAGGGTAGAGAGCATTGGTGGCACCCCATTCTACCCAGGCATCACCCTCAAGACCTGGCAGGAGGGGATCAGAAATCAGCTAGTAGCTCTCGACCGCTCAGGGCTGCCTCTGTACTTCTTCATCAACCCCAGCACCCTCCCAGAGCTGCCCACCCCCACAGTGAAAAGGATGGCCAAGCGAGTGGAGATGGCTATCCGCCGCTACTACACCTTCAACACCTACCCAGGCTGCACGGACTCCAACTCGCCCAACTTCAACTTCCATGCAAATGCCGATGATGGCTCCTGTGAAGGTACAATGACCAACTTCACCTTTGGGGGAATTTTCCAGGAGTGTGCCGGCCTGGCTGGCCCCGACGCCAGCACGCTGTGCCGGGGACTGGAGCAGAAGAAC